TAATATTTAGATCTTTAATCCACTTTGATCTTAGTTTATCCACTACTCTGATTTAAGCAAACTAAACCCACAGATAGTATTTTATTTCTGTAACTCCAAAAATAAAAACTCACAGCTAACGCTATATGTCCTTGCCAACCAACAAGCTCAATGACGATATTATTCTAAATATTCACCACTTTGACTCCCTCTTCCTTGTCCAAGAAAATTACCATTGCAACACTGTCATTGGGATAACTGCTTTGTCTAAGGAAGTCGACATTTCCACAGAGATTCAGAATCACGTAAATTAATTCCACATAACTGTAAAACTTAGTCCTTTATATGCTTTTAACGGGCATAGATTGTTATATTTTTCTGCAACTTAAGATTTCTATAGTCAACTGGCTAAATATCCAAGTTCCTAAACACCAAAGCTTGCTTTGAGTCAATTTCTCCTTCCATGGTAAAACATAAACACTCAGAGTGCAAGTTAATGTAAAATTTGTCTTGCTTTGTATTCTGGAATTGACAAAAGGTGGAAAGAGATTATCATGTGACCCAAGGTCCCTGCTGGTCAAGTGGTCATAGGGAGTTCCATCTCCATAGTTCCTGGATGAGCTTGGATGTCCTCCATTCCTCCAGGACCCTGAGCTACTTCTGTCTTCTACATCTCCGCCTCGGTGTCCGCAGGTCCAGCGCTGTCGGGCCGCCTCTGTTGCAGCTGGAGCTCCCACCACAGGCTGAGGCTGTGGGGTTGGAGGGGCCCAAGAAGGAGAGTTTTAATTTAGCTCGTGCTTTCATGTGATTCAGTCCATGGCTGTTGCCTCCAAGGGAAGAACATCATGGTGCAAGGGCAAGGGAGAGCAAAGTTGCTGAGATCATGATGGCCAGGAAACAGGGCAAGGGAACAGTGCCAGAAAAGAATGGGCGAGGGACCATTTGACCTAAAACCATGCATCTGTGGCCCACTCAGACACACCCAGGAGAGTGCTTTACTAATCTGCTAGGTGTTTCTTAATTCAACGAAGTGGACATATCAGGATTAATAGTCATAGTCATCAAAAAAGGACGCAGGGGGTGAAAAGAACTTGGATGCACTGAAATGTTCTTCAGCATGGGATTAGTTGAATATAGTACATTCAACCAATGGAGGATTGTGGAGTTCCTGTCCAACCCAGGGAAAGGGTTAAAAGTGATGAAAGTCAGCAAAACGCATGTGTTCGCTGAATGATCTTGGCTTGTGTGCCTTTCTGCAGGGAGGCTATCTCCTGAGAAAGGAGTATATAGAAAAAACGTACACACACAAACACAGAAAACCACACACACACACACACACACACACACACACACACCCAAACCGACCATTCCCAGGCTCTAGCCAAGGCCAGCAATGATCCCTTCCAGCCACGCAGGCTTGTTGGCACCAAGTCACTTTTGTCTGGACACAGTACTTAAGAAACTGAGAAACTGAGTGTGGCATGGTGTTTTATTTCCCACCTGCTAAAAGCTCCATCTCATGTGAGATCCTTCATCTTTGGTGTGGTCTCCTGCCTCATTGTGTGGTAATATATTCTTTGACTATGCTCATATCTGCTGTACTTTTTTTTTTTTGGTGCCGGGGATTGAACTCAGGTCCTTGCGCTTGTGCAGCAGGTGGCAAAACCACTGAGCTAAATCCCAGGCCCAAAAGTCATGTTGCTTTTTTTTTTTGGTACCAGGGATTGAACTCGGGTCCTTGCACTTGCACAACAGGCGGCAAAACCACTGAGCTAAATCCCCGGCCCTGCTGTACTGTTATAGTAAACTTACTTTCACCTTTTAAAATCATTATGTGGCTCTTCTCTGTTCGTGTGGGTTTCAAACCTCAAATTTCTGTGGCCACAACCTATGTGTGGCTCCTTGCTGTTACACCAAGTCTGACCGTGGAAAACACATGCTATTCAGCTGGAGCCCAGGCTGAGCCAGGGTAGGACAAAAGGCCATCAGAAAGACGGGAAGCATGCAGATAACCCCTACTTAGTGCTCTTCCCAGGGTGGACCTGCCCACTTCCTGCTGAGGGGCACACTGGGCCCCATGTCTGTGTTTCATTTTCCTGGAGACTGCCCTTGCTGGAGAGAACTAGGTCTGTCTGATTCACTTGGGTCTCTTACATCCAGCATCTGGCTGGCCCACAGAGTTTAACAGACCTTCAGAGTGAGCTCTATGGGTTCCCAGCCTGGGTTAGACTTGGGTTAAGTGGCTTGGCAAGAATCCTATCAGTTCTTTTTTTTTCTTTGCGGTTCTGGGGCTCGAACTTGGACCTTGCACTTGCAAGGCAGGTGCAGTGCCACTGAGCTAAATCCCCAGCCCATGAATCCTGCCAGTTCTGGATCTCAGTTCTTTTCTTCTTCAAGACAGGGATGATTGACATTGTAAATGCTTGCTTGCTTGCTTTCTTTTGTACTGAGAATCGAACTCAGGACCTTGCACTTGCCAGACAGGTGAGGCACTACTAGGCTACATCCCTGGCCCTTTTGTTTTTGAGACAGGGTCTCACTATGTAGTTCAGGCTGGCCTTGAACTCACTATGTAGCCCAGGCTGGCCTCAAATTCACATCATCCTCCTGCTTTAGCCTCCCAAATGCTGGGATTATAGGCATGTGGCACCAGGCCTAGCCTTGTAATGCTTTAATCCAATGGCACATTTACTTTCAAAGAGCTAAGTAAATATTACCTTTTCTTTGGTACCAGGGATTGAACTCAGGTCCTTGCGCTTGCACAGCAGGTGGCGAAACCACTCAGCTAAATCCCCGGCCCAATATTACCTTATTTAAAAACTTGCTGGGTGTAGGTGTGGTATCTCAGGCCTGTAATCCCAGAACTCAAGAGGCCGAGGCTGAGGCTGGGCTGGGAGGTAGCTCAGCAGTATAGCACCTTCCTGGCAAGCATGAGGCCCTGAGTTCAATTCCCAGTATCAAGAAAAAAACAAAAAAGTTTGAGGCAGGAGAATCACTGTGAATTCGAGGCCAGCCTGGATTATGTACAGTGAGACCTTGCTTCAAAAAAACAAAACCAAAAACCTTGTATAAGAATGTTTAGAGCAGCACTACTGAAAATAGTCAAAAAGGTAGAGACTATTTAAATATAATAAATGACTATGTAAAATGTTGCCTGTCCACACAATGGAATATTATTGAGTCATTAAAAAGTATGGCGGGGCATGTGATGCACACCTTCAATCCCAGCACTGAGGAGGCTGAGGCAGGTGGATCCCTGGGAGCTGGAGGCCAAACTGGGCTACATAGTGAGTTCAAGGCCAGCCCGAACTACATAGGACTACATGTCAAGACCCTGTCTAAAAAAAAAGGTAATGAAGCACTGACATACACTGCAACATGGATGAGCTGTACAAACAAGCAGAGTGAAGTCAGATACAAAAGCACACAGTGTATGATTTCATTTGTATAATGTGTCCAAAATAGGAAAATCTACAGAAACAAAGTAGATTGGCGGTTACCAAGGGTGGGGGCAAGGGGAGATGGGGAATGATTGTTTAATGGGTACAAGTTTCCTTTGAGGACAATGAAAATTTCTGAAAATAGATAGCCGTGACAGTACTTACTTAACAATGTGTGTACTAAATGCCACTAATGGTAAACTTGATGTGTATTTATCACAATTTTTATAAAAATAGAAAAGAATAAAAGACTTTGCAAATCTGTGCATGAGCCATCTCTCACGGGGGTGGGGTGGGGTTGTAGAATCTCCCGTGACCGGGGTAATCACGAAGGGAGACTCTTACACCCTAGGGGGCAAGGTGACGGGCGAGCACCGCAAGCCTAGTTCAAACTGAGACCCTAGGCGGCGTCAGCCTTCTCAAGGTCATATTCTGGCTGGTCGACCTCAGGCAGGAGATGCTCTGGAGGCCGGCCGGGTTACTCCATCCGGTGCGCCTGCCTCCCCAGTCTGGCTCTCAAGTCCCGGAGCTGCGACGCGTTGCCAACTCAGGTTCTGTTCTTGACAGTCCCGCCCCAACCCTGGTTTTCTCAGGTCTGAACACACCCTCGACGCAAGACCACGCCCACCCAGAAGAGCTGCTCCTGGCTCCACCTTTTTGCCTAGCAATCGGTTTCATTGTAGCCACGCCCCTCTAGCCGTCCGGTCCGGTCTCCACCCTCGGCGAGCCGGGCCCCACCTCTTCGGTTCCAGGCCACACCCCCTCGAGCCCTGCCCGTCAAAGCTACTCAATCCTGCCCCGCCCCCTCTCGCCGTTTACTTACACTAGCCTCCGTGGCCCGTTGTTATGACGACACGGTCGTAAATCCGCCATCTTCCTGCGGCTCGTTGCGACATGGAGGGAGCGATGGCAGTGCGGGTGACGGCCGCTCATACGGCAGAAGCCCGGGCCGAAGCCGGGCGTGAAGCGGGTGAGGGCGGGGTCGCAGCAGCGGCTTCTGTTCCCGGCGGCTTCCTCCGCCTCCCAGCGCCCTTCGGGGAGGAAGGTAACGAGGCTCTACCGTGCTGGCACGGTCAGGGTGGGGCGGGACAGCCTGGGCTAGTGGCATACCGAGGGCCGAACCTTCGGGTGCGCAGACCCTCCTGGACCGAGCTCCCCTCGGGCCTCGCAAGCCTTCCCCGACCCTCGCAGGCTTCCCTGCGGGGCGCCTGCCACCCGCTGGGCCTCTGAGCGTTTTCAGGTGTCCGCAAAAGTCTGGAGGTCCCAGATTGGACCGAGGCAAACGCTGATGGCCCAGCCTTCGGGCCCTTGCTGCCACCCCCACCGCCCCTGCGGGGGCGGGGTCTCGGTTCTCTGAGGGATGGGGCTCACAGGGAGATGCACCTCCGCCTCCCCTACGAAAATGTAGTTGCAGCTTCCCGAATATGCTGAGCACTTACCCCCCCCCATCAGCTTTTTCCATCTTTTTTTCGTTTTGTTTGTTTTTTTTGCAGTACTGGGGCTTGAACCCAGGGACTTAGCATCGAGCTACGTCCTCAGCCTTTTTTTGTGTGTGTGAGGCAAGATCTTACGTTCCCCACGCTGGGCTTGAACTTGCTATCCTCCATCCTCCCAGAGTGCTAGGATTACAGGCGTACACCACCATGTCCGGCAGCTTTTTCCATCCTTAAACCAGCTCTCAGATGTGGGTGGTATTATTTATTTTTTGGTATTGGGGATCGAACTCGGGACCTTGCGCTTGCGAGGCAGGCGGCGGAACTACTGAGCTAAATCCCCAGCTGGATGCTATTATTATTACTACCACTTTAGGGTTGAGACCATTGAAGTTCACGGATGTAAAAGTGGCCAGGTCACCCATTTAGGAAATAGCAAGGACTGGATTGGACCCCAGGAGCATGTAGCGCCTCAACTCTACTCCTTTAATTTCTGTGTTTTGCTACTTCATGGGAGAATGGCAAGAATAACTCTGTGTGTGTAGGTCTGAGAGTAGTACTGGGACACTAAGTCAGTGGTGCCGACCGTATGGCATGCATGCTGCAGAGGGCATATTGTATCACTGAAAGCTCTAAAAGGTTCCCCATCAGTGCCTAAGCATTCATTCACCGGGCAGTGTTAGTGAAGCAAGACATAAAGAAAAACAAGTCCTTCCCAGCCTTGGGCAGGCTCCATCCCCCCCAAACTCCTTGTTCTGGTACAGATAAAATTGACAACTATATCCTGTAAACAAAGTTTATGACACTCCATTCTCATATGATTCATAAGATGTTGTCTTCTTTGAAGGCAAAGTTACAAAACTGTCTGCCCTTGTCCTGTTCCAGTAAACCCACTTGCTATGTCACTAGAAAAACCATCCCCTTCAATAAAATATCTAAAGGCTGGAACTTCTCTTTGTTCAATGCTCTTCCTTTAGAGAGGAGTCTATTGAGCCAATCCACACCTTAAACCTGAAATAAAGTCCTCCTGTCTTGGTCCATGGGTCTCTCCAGTCTTTAGATTCCCACAATAGCTTTTTAGAACTGCTTAGGTCTCCACTCTCCTGGAATGTCCCAAGATCAGACAGGAAGGGGGTTGGCTCCTGATATTGTGGTAAGGGTGGTCTTGTCTTTGTCCTCATAGGATGTGTAGTGTCTGTCTCTCTGTCTCCTCTCTCTCATATATATATCTATATTATATAGTATATATCTTTTTTTTTTTGGTACTGGGAATCGAACTTGGCTCCTTGCGCTTGCAAGGCAGGTGGCGGAACCACTGAGCTAAATCCCTGGCCCCTATGTTCCCTTATTTCTTCATGGAGAGGGGCAGTGCCAACCTGAGAGGAGTCTCTTTGGAGGTTGCTGTGCTCTGCTGGGTCTGTCTGCCTTGTCTCTGTGAAATGGGATGGTATGTCTCCTGGGCTAGGGCTCCTTCAGCAGCAATACTGTGTTGCTAAATCAGACTCAGTATTTTGGGAGAGTTAGCAGGGTGACAGACATTTCAGTGCCTGGTTTGTGACTGAGCCAGTCACCAGAGGAGACTGTCCTCTGTTAAGTGGCCTGTATGTGAGTCATAGCTGTTGCCTGCACTTTATTCACTCATTAATTAAACAAGCCTTGACTGGGCTTCTCCCATGTACCACACCTGGGTTTGACCTTGATGTATGACTATGGAAGTGCTAGGAACAGTCAGACTTTTATGGAAGCATGGCGTCTGTGTTGGCGCTTCAGTTCAGCTGGTTGAGCTTGAACCTCAAGTTGTTTTTCTAGGTTGGGAGTAGTCATTCATTTCCTCAGGGTGCTGGCAGATTTGGTGACATTCCTAGTGAGGTACCTGTCATACATAGGGACTCAGGAAGCCAGAAGTCTCTCTTGCAGGTCTTAGGACAGGCATGGTGATGGTGAGGGGCTCAGGTGTGGGTATGAAGCCCCTCTGGTGCCTGCACCTGAACAGGGGTACTGTCTGTTGGGGACCATTGAAGCATAAATTCAGGAAGAAAAGAGTGGTCAGGGGCCAGAGGATGTAGCTCAGTGATAGTGTGTGCTCAATGTGGTCAAGGCCCTGGTTCAATCCAGCAGTTCTAGTGATTAGAGATTAGGCCCCCTTCTGTTCCTATCTTTCCAGAGGCTGGCCTCTTAGAGCCTTGTGTTGCTCATCTACTGAGCCTCTGCTGTGCCCTGTGGATGCTTAACAGGTCAGTCCATTTTACAGATGAGGAAAACTGTTTAGAGATGGTCACTGAACTGCCCAAGGGCATATTCAATTCCCAACAGTTATGTATTTTTGTTTGTTTTTTGGTGGTGGATGTTAGACAAGTGCTGTACCATTGAGCTATATTTTTAGGGCCCCAACTTTTTTTTTGGAACTGGGGATTGAACTCAGGACCTTGGGCTCGCCAGGCAGGTGGCACTGGGCTAAGTCCCCTCGAACTCGGGTCCTTGTGCTTGCACAGCAGGCGGCTAAACCACTGAGCTAAGGTAGTCCATAGCTGTAATCTCAGCACTTGGGAGGCTGAAACGGGATTGCTGAGAGTTTGAGGTCAGTCTGGGCTATATATTGAGTTCAAGGCAAACCTAAACTACATAGTGAGATCTTGTCTCAGAAAAACAAATCACCCCCCCCAAAAAAAGAAAAACAGGCATGGTGGCACGTGCCTATAATCCTAGCACTTGGGAGGCTGAGGCAGGAGGATCACTGTGAGTTTGAGGCCAGTGTGGGCTACATAGTGAGTTCAATACTATCCTGAACTATGTAGTGACACCCTGTCTCAAAAACAACAACAAAACAAAAAAACACACAAGCAAAACAAAACAGCCCTCTACTATCCCCAAACTCCTTGGGCAAGTCCCTTTGCTTCCCAGCCCCTTCTGGGTGTTTCTCTTCTTATGCCTAGAGTAGGGGTTTTGGGGATGACAACCTCAGTGGATCTTGCAGCCTAAGTGTATGGTAAGTACCATCCTGGGTGGGCCTTTACTTTTGCAGACTGCCAGAGGTTAGAGGCTGTACCCAGGGTTCCCTAGGCTTGGACTCCCAAGCATGTTTTCAGCAGCCTCTGGAAGAGGTGGGGCAAGAGCTCTGCTTCTGATGCTGTCTTGGGCAAGTCTGGTTTGGGGCTGGAGAGTAAGCTGGATTGGCCCTGGTTGCCCAGCTGGGAGCCTCTGACAGCAGGCTCATTGCAGATGAGGATGACATACACAGATGTGGCCGCTGTCAGGTGGAATTCACTGCCTTGGAAGACTTTGTTCACCACAAGATTCAGAAGGCCTGCCAGCGGGCCCCTCAGGAAGCCCTGCATACACCCTCTGCTACCACCACACTCCTGGGCCAGGAGGTAAGCCTCTACCCTCTTGCCACTATACATACCTGTCTTCCTGGGCTCACCTGACAGGAAGAAGAGGAAGAATGCTAGGACAAACCTGTGCAGCTGTTTTCTGGTGAATGTGGGTGGGCAGAAGGCAGATACCTGGTTTCCGGTAGAGGGTCCTGGCTATGCCCCTAATCCTGGTGGTGCACCGGAGCTTCCTGGGTGGCTTGGGTGGTCCAGCCTTCTCACATCCTGGACAGTTGAGGGACTGGGTCCCTCTTTCCTTAGGGTTTTAGCTTAGGGTGTGATGGTGGTGTTTGTCTTCTTAACTTGTCTCCTGTCCTTCACGATTCCTGAGGATCCCACAAATGAAGCAGGGTCCTGTGGGTCCTACCACCTTGTCATAAAATGGCTCATTTTGTTGAGTCCCTGTGATATGCTTGGGGCTAAACACACACCCTTACCAAATTTCACAGCACTTCTCCCAGGTGGGAGCTCTTTCCATCCTCATTGCACAGAATCAAGAAAGGAGCTTCAGGGAGAAGTCAGTAGCTTCAGGCCACCAGTGGTCCAGATGACATTGGAACTGGGTTGTCTCACTGACCCTTTCCTCTGACTACCTGGCTGGGGCTGTAGGTGTGTGCTGCACTGTTGTGCCTGCTACAGGCCAACTTCAGTTACCAGTGCCTCATTGTGGGTGCCAGTGTACCATGTCCAGGCATGATGAGAGGCATCAGAGTGAGAGGGCTAGTCCTCAGCCATGGGTTGGAGAAGCTAGGCAGGAGTCAGTCTCAGCGCTGTGGTCTTGTGGGGCAAGATGGGAGTTGCCACTCCAGGCATGCTACAAGCCAGGTGCCAGGCCTGTGCTTCCCAGTTTACTTCCCCACAGAGGAGCCCAGGCCCTCTGGAAATTCTTGAGCCCACAGACCTGTCCCCTCTGTCCCCATCCTCCAATTGGTAGGTGGTGCCAACCGCAGCAGGCCCAGAAGAACCCATTACTGTGGCCCACATTGTGGTGGAAGCAGCCTCCTTGGCAACAGACATCAGCCATGCTCCTGACCTTGTTGGTAAGCCACCTGTCCACCTGCAGTTCTCCTGGCACTGAGGTATCGCTGACTTGATAGCCATCTGTAGTTGGGGCTGGAGGATAAAGCACTTCTGCTACCACACCCTTTATTCCCCCTAGAACAAGGCCTAGGTCTGGAGAGGCTGAGAGCTTCTATAAGCCTCTCCTGGCAGGGCCTGTAGGAGGAGGATACATCAGGCACCAGGCTGTGTGAGAACAAGGCCATGACCTTCTGTATCCACAGTGGCCTACACAACCCTAGGTTACGTGCAGGCATCAAAGAGTCTTCACTCTGTGTTCTATCCTGAGCAGGCTTCCCTCTTCTGCATGCTTTCCCAGGCTTTTTGTCCTCTGGTCCTCTTATATCCTTCCCACTTCTCTGCCGCTCCAATGGTTCCTGCTCACTGCTCCCAGGTGGCACCCACTGGATACACCCCTACAGGTCCTCCTCCCCAAACTGTTGGGTTTGAGTGGTTGGGATGGGGCAATTGGGGTGCCCCTGTTGCTGGTCCCAACTTGCTGCCTGACCTTGCCCTGCACCCCCAGTGCTTGCTTACATTAGCATTGGAATTCCTATCCTGTCATTGGGCTTTTATGAGCATACAACACCAAGCCTGTTTGATGACTATGTTTTAAATTTAATTGCCTCACTGATGTGCAGTGGGAAAGGGGGCATTGAGAGGTTTGGATTGGGTCAGGCTCTCATTAATTGGGGAATGTGCAGGGGGACATTCAAAGGGCTGCCTGGACAGATGGAAGGAACCAGGGGCTGTTTCTGATGTGCAGATGAGTGTGGGGATAAGTGGACTGGTTTTGCAGATGCCAGGGGAGGGCAGTCAGGTTGGGTCTGATGTTGTGGGAAGTTGGGAAGGAAGCAGTCATTACCTGGGGTTCCTGCTGGGCAGGGGTCAAGGCAGGTGGATAAGATGGCATCTGGACAGAAAGTGGGTTTGGGTTTCGGCAACAGATAGAACTTGGCCTTGGGAAGCTCTGGGGACTGGCTGGAGCAGGAACAGGGAGGATCTGTGAGAGAGACCAGGCTTGGGTTTGGTAAAGGAAGTCTCTGAGCAGGTTGACCTGCCCAGGGAGGCAGCTAGGATACCTGTCCTGGTCTCTGTGCCACCTTTCCCGTGATTTTCCTAAAACAAAGATACCTGTTACCACTCAGATTTAGGAATGTTGTTGGGGGTAGGGTCTTGCTCCAGCTCTGGTTCAGAGTTTAGTTTCTGTGTTCAGTGTATGGTATCATCTGAGAAAACAAATTCCCAGCAGCATGTCTAGGCTCCAGGGCTTTGGCCAGTTAGGCCCCTTTCACCCATCCTTGACTTCCAGTGGTTCCCAGCCTTCACCTGCCATGGTAGCTCTTGCTATGGTAGTACTTCAGCACCCCCTCCTAGGGCCCCCCCTTGCATCTCTTGTACCCTTGGGATTTTTTTTCCCTCTTTGTGAGCATCCTGGATGGGCTGGAGCCAAGGGCTGCCAGTGTTCCTGTTGACCTCAGGGAAAGAAATGTCAGAGAGGCTGTTGGTCTGACTGGGCTCTGTCCTCTGGGGCAGGACTTAAGCACTAGGGGCTGTGTGGCCTGGCTGGTCACCATCTCCAGGCCCTCCTGCCTTTGCCCTGAATTCAGACTCAAGTTTCGTTCCTGTCTCCCAGTTTGTCAGCCATCAGATCTGTTCTTGGGAAGATGCTTCTGGGGCACTGAGAATGTTAGCTGGATCATATATGAAAGATGCCCTAATTGTTTTTGAGTCACTCTCTTGGGTTTTATTTCAAGAGAACAAGATGCCAGCCAGTTAGAGATAGTTTCCAAGAAGTGGCTTCTCAGCTGTTTCCCACTCGTCACTTTTATGAGCAGAAAATGAAGTGTTTTCAGTCTTGGTTTGCACATTGTCATATTTCCTTAGCACCACTAAGAAGCAAAAAGCCTGACTTCCTTTCTTCAGGCCGTCTGTGTGTCTGAGGAGCATTCACACCTCCATAGCCTGCCCCCAGGACAGGGCTCTGGTGGGGTGTGCTTGCCCACCAGCAGTCCATTCAGTGGGTAACCCCAGAGGCATCTTCTCTCTCCAGGGGGTCAGTAGCACTGAGAGGGAGTGTATAGGACAGACTAGACAGCTGGGCTGGCCCAACCTCTGTCTCTGTGCCGAGGCACATTGTTGCCAGGACCTGTACATATTCTTGGCATAAAAATGGGGTATCTGTTCTTATGGTGGGTCTCCCCACTGCACAAATTTGGAGGTCCTGGAGTCCCTCCAAGCATCTCCATGGAGTTGGGGATGTCTGCATCCTGCCAGGCTAACTCAAGCTGAGTGTCTCCTTGGCTGCGCCCCCAGGTCCTCTCCATTGATTTTCCACTGTGCAGGTTGGACGTGGACTTGACCTAGAGAAGTAGGTCCCAGATTTGGGGCTAGGGGGAGTGTAGACATACCCCTCCGCCCCTCAAAGTCCCCCTACATTTCAGGGAGAGCCTATGGTGTGACCCAAGGCTTATGGTGACTTGCCTTTCAGGCAGTGGACATATTAAAGAGGTCATTGTGGCTGCTGAGACTGAGCCAGGGGACGGTGAGATAGCAGAGGCCTTGGGTAGTCCCAGCCATCAGGGGATTGAGCTTGCTGTGGAGGGCGAGCAGGCACAGGCCAAGCTGCTGGTGAATAAGGATGGCCGCTACGTGTGTGTGCTGTGTCACAAGACCTTCAAGACGGTGAGCCCCTGGGGCTGAGGGCTGGCCAGGCTGCCTGCCCAAGGAGGTGTTCCAAGCCTTATTGCCCCTCCCCTGTAGGGCAGCATCCTCAAGGCCCACATGGTCACCCACAGCAGCCGCAAGGACCATGAGTGCAAGCTCTGTGGGGCCTCCTTTCGGACCAAGGGCTCACTCATCCGGCATCACCGGCGGCACACAGGTGAGCTGCACCCTCCCAGTTGGCCTTGGGGGTGCCCTAACCCTGGCCTATGTTTCTGTTTTCTGAGTAAAGAGGCAGGGGCTCCTCGGCTGCCTTCCCCTTGTCACAGGGTCACAGTGTACCCAAGGGTGACTGTTCTCTCCACAGATGAGCGTCCATATAAGTGTGCCAAGTGTGGGAAGAGCTTCCGGGAGTCTGGTGCACTGACTAGGCACCTCAAGTCTCTCACTCCGTGCACAGAAAAAATTCGCTTCAGCATGAGCAAGGATGTGGTTGTGGGCAAAGAAGATATGCCTACAGGTCAGTATAGTGGGATCTCTCTGGGTATTTGGGGCTGCTATTCCTAGCCTTGGCCCCTGGCCTAGGTACTACTGCTCAGGGGAAGTGCTTTAACTGCTCACTCAATTCTGCCTTAAAGGGTCAGGTGCCTCCACCGTGGGGACGGTTACATCTTCGTCAGTGACAGGCGAACCTATGGAGACGTCGCCAGTGATTCATCTGGTGACAGATGCCAAGGGCACTGTCATCCACGAAGTCCATGTCCAGATGCAGGAACTGCCGCTGGGCATGAAACCCCTGGCCCCAGAGGTAGGGCTGGGGTACCCTCCACTCTGCTCTGTGCCCTGGGCGCTGACTCTTAACAGGTGTAGCCAGTTGGAGCTGCTGGCAGGAGCTCAGTCTGCCTACAGAGTAGACTAAAGAGCTCCTTGGATGGTGGATAGCTTCTTGGATGGTGCCAGAGGGCAGGGAAGGGGCAGGGGGATGAGTGAGCAGGGGTCGAGGTAGGAGCGAGGAGGACTGGGCTCTACCCAGTGAGACCAAGGCAGCTAGGGCTGGGAGGCTGGGAGTGCACCATAGGGCTTTGAGTGTACACAGTGCCTCTGGGGCCCTGAGCTGGTCTGCCCTGTAGGGTGAGTGCAGTGTGCCAGGCTGTCTGGCTAGCCTGCCTCTCTTTGCTTTCTCTGCAGGCTCCTGGTCCCGAGGAGCTTCCCTGTTCTGGTGAGGGCAGCCGTGAGAACCTGCTACACCAGGCTATACAGAATTCTGGCATCGTTCTCGAGCGAGTCACTGGGGAGGAGAGTACCCTAGAGCCAGCCCCAACCTCTGGGTCTAGTCCACAGGCCCTGGGAGATGGACCTCCAGAACTGCCACTACTGGAGGTGGAGCAGATGGAGACAGTAGGTGTTTCTTGCTAGCATCCTCATTCTGGGGGCTAGACATGGGTGTTTGCTCACCATGATGGCCTGTGCTCCCTACAGCAGATGGTAGTGCTGCTTTAATACCTTTCCTGGGGCTATGAGGGAGCTGGCTAGGGTGGGTGCCCTGGTCTTATCTTTGGTGTGGCTAGGGCACATCCTGCAGTGGGTGCTGGAGGCCTGCTTGTGGTCCCCTCGTAGGTAGCCAGTGAGGCCTCCACTGTGCCCAGGACCCACTCTTGTCCTCAATGCAGTGAGACTTTCCCAACAGCAGCCACCTTGGAAGCTCATAAGAGAGGCCATGCAGGTGGGTGGTATGCAGGCAGGTAGGTCATGGACAGTGAGAGGCCTGGGGGCAGCCAGGGTGGCCTATGGTCCCGCAGTGGGTGGCCAGATGTGGTGTGGGTGGCAGGCCTAGCTGATGTTGTGTGTGGTCCCAGGGCCGAGGCCGTTCCCCTGTGCACAGTGTGGCAAGGCCTTCCCCAAGGCCTACCTGCTCAAGAAGCACCAAGAAGTACATGTGCATGAGCGCCGCTTCCGCTGTGGGGACTGCGGGAAACTGTACAAGACCATTGCCCATGTGCGTGGCCACCGGCGTGTCCACTCCGATGAGCGGCCCTTCCCTTGTCCCCAGTGTGGCAAGCGCTACAAGACTAAGGTGGGACCCTGGTGTCTGACTCAGTTGTCTACCTCTGAGGCCAGATGTACCCCTTTTTTCCTGCCAACCCCCATCCCCTTCTTGGCCTCAGCCTGCTCAGGTTCTGCTCCTCAGGCCCAAAGGTGGGTGGGGATAGCCCTGATCTGCTCTGGCTGCTTTGACTGTTACGGACTGGTGTTCACAGAATGCCCAGCAGGTGCACTTCCGGACACACCTGGAGGAGAAGCCATATGTATGCCAGTTCTGCAGCCGAGGCTTCCGGGAGAAGGGATCACTGGTGCGGCATGTGAGGCACCACACGGGCGAGAAGCCCTTCAAGTGCTACAAGTGTGGCCGAGGTTTTGCTGAGCATGGCACACTCAACCGGCACCTGCGTACCAAAGGTTGGGGCAGAGGGTGTCGAGAGGCATGAGGGCTAGGGGTTGCCTGACCGTGACTGAGCTTCCCTACCCTGGCAGGGGGCTGCCTGCTGGAGGTGGAGGAGTTGCTGGTGTCTGAGGAGAGCCCCTCAGCAGCTGCCACTGTGCTGGCGGAGGACCCCCACACTGTGCTGGTGGAGTTCTCATCTGTGGTGGCTGACACACAGGAGTACATCATTGAGGTGGGTGTGGGGCTGGTGGGGCCAGGACAGGGCCCAGGGTAGTCCACCCTGACTTATGACCATCTCTGCAGGCCACTGCAGATGATGCGGAGACCAGTGAAGCTACAGAGGTTATCGAGGGCACCCAGACAGAGGTGAGGACCTGGGGAGGGTGGGAGGCTGGTCTGGCCCCTTGAGCAGCCACTTGGGCTGAGCTGTGGTCCCTGCAGGTGGACAGCCACATCATGAAGGTGGTACAGCAGATTGTGCACCAGGCCAGTGCTGGGCACCAGATCATTGTGCAGAATGTGACTGTGGACCAAGAGGCAGGGCTGGGCTCGGAGACGGCCTCTGCAGACACCATCACCATCGCCACCCCTGAGAGCTTGACAGAGCAAGTGGCCATGACACTGGCCTCAGCTATCAGTGAGGGTACTGTGCTCACAGCCCGCACAGGCTCAAATGGCACTGAACAGGCCACTGTGACAATGGTCTCATCAGAGGACATTGAGATCCTTGAGCATGCAGGAGAGCTGGTCATTGCTTCACCAGAGGGCCCGCTTGAGGTGCAGACAGTCATCGTCTAGCATGGAGCCTGCGGTTTCCTTTGGGCTGGGGCAGGCGCAGAGGCAAGGACTCTCAGTGCCCACCCATTCCTACCTGGTCTGGTAGAGAAGACAGTCCAGAATTTCAGGCATCCAAAGGAGACTGGGTGTGTAAATATGTTGAAGTTTTTGTTGCTTTACAATAAAACATGAAAACCCGCAGCTTGTGATGTTGAGGAAGTGGCCTTTGGAGGTGACCTATGGCAGCACCTGCCTGCCACACTTGTTCACACCTGGCCACCAGCCCAGGGGTATTGCCAGCCTTGGCGGTACCTCCATGGTGCATGGGTGTGTCTGGCATGTTGACAGGCAGCCTCTTGCCACTGCCCTTCCCAGCTGGAACTGTGACCCCAACTTCTCCAGGCCTGTTGGGGTTGGGGGAAACTGGTGCTGCTGCTCAGCTTCCTACCCTGGAATTCCATGGGTTAAGGTCTGAGGCTGAGACCCAGGAACCTCAAGTTGAGCTGCAGCTTTTCACCCTGAGTTGAGGATAAGTATAGGCAAAGCAGCAGGGATGTTGGACCAGGAGTGGGGCTGGTCTTTCCTGATTATCTGTTTTCCCAAGAGGATGTGGCTCAAGGCAGATTCTAGGTGACCTAGTTTCTGGGGAGGTGGAGATAAGAACAAGGCCTGGACAATGGATGTAGCTGGCCCTTCTCTGAAGTCCTGAGGCTGTCCTTAGGGGGTCTCCAGGGGCTTCCTGGGTGGTTCTGGGACAAGCCTGGGGCACTACTCTTGGCTCAGGAGATAATCCTGACCCTTACCTGCTGGGAACCAGGAGTTCTGGCATGAAGGAGGCGGGACCCAGTGGAGCCCTGCCCCTCCCTGCAGCAGGGCCTCAAATACCCACCAGTGCCCTTGCATCAGAGCTCCTGCTGGACCAGGACAACACAGTTTGTCCAGAGCCACAACAGGCCCCAGGCTGGACCTCAGATCCCCATTTGGACCCGAACCCAGGAGCCTCTGACACCACTTAATCCACAGGTAAGTCTTGGGGCTGGGTTGAGCTGGAGACTGGATAGGAACAAGACTTAAAATTGTTTGCTCATGCCGTGGAAAACCCATCATAGGCTGAGAGCCTGGTGCATCTCCGGGTGTGAAGGGCTGGACTGACCCAGAGAATTTAGAAGTGAGGTTTCTCCCAAGGCCAGCCCTGGGGGCAGACCCAGCCAGGTATGGACCAAGGTGTTTCTTGCAAGCTGTCCCTGACCCTTTCAGCTCCTCAGCTTCTGCCATGGTTGGCCCCTGTGCCCTGCTCTGGGCACTCTGGGCGCTGCGGTCTGCAGGGTCTGCGGCACTGCGCATCGGAGCCTTCAACATCCAGTGCTTTGGTGACAGCAAAGTGTCGGACCCAGCCTGTGGCAGGGTCATCGCACAGGTAAGGCTGGGAGTGCAGCTGAGGCGGGGCTGGAGCCAGGCTGGGCTCCAGGGCACGATTGGCAAGCTCCTGAACCTGACAACTTCTCCCCCAGATCCTGTCTGGCTATGATGTCATGCTTGTGCAGGAGGTGCGGGACCCAGACCTGAGCGCTGTCACAGCACTCCTGGAGCAGATCAACAGGTGGACAAGACCCCTGCGTGCACCCTCAACCTTGATCGTAGGCTCAGTGTAGCACTTGACAAAGGGCCTGGCCCTTCTCTCCACAGTGTGTCCAAGCATGAATACAGCTTTGTGAGCAGTGAGCCGCTGGGTCGGGACCAGTACAAGGAGATGTACTTGTACATCTACAGGTGAGGTGCAGGGGGCCGAAAGGAGGGGCATGTAGGGTCCAGGTAGCAGGCTCAGCAGACCACCAGTCCTCTGCTCCCAGGAAAGACGCAGTATCGGTCATGGAGACATACCAGTACCCGGACCCAGAAGACGCCTTCAGCCGTGATCCTTTTGTGGTCAAATTCTCCGCCCCCAGCTGCGGTGAGGTTGGCTCAGCCCTCCCTAGCTCCTGCCCTCAAGGCTATGCCCTGACAGGCCCTTCCCTCTTCATCCCACGCCCTCCCCCTGTAACAGCCACCCCTCCCCACAGCTGCCAAAGAGCTGGTGCTAATCCCGTTGCACGCAGCGCCTCACCAGGCCGTGATAGAGATCGACGCCCTTTATGACGTCTACTTGGACTTGATCAACAAGTGGGGCACAGACGTAAGCACCGTGCCCGATTCCTGCATCCCAGGGTCCCTTTGGTGCATGCCAGGGGTTTGGGTCACTGAACCAGTCTCAGATTTCAGTGGCACCCACAGGACATGCTGTTTCTGGGTGACTTCAATGCGGACTGCAACTACGTGCGGGCGCAGGACTGGGCAGCCATCCGCCTACGCAGCAGCGAGGTCTTCAAATGGCTTATCCCGGATACCGCTGACACCACGGTAGGCAACTCGGACTGTGCCTATGACCGCATCGTGGTGTGTGGCGCTCATCTGCGCAGGAGCTTGAAGCCCCATTCAGCAGCTGTGCATGATTTTCAGGAGGAATTTGGCCTAGACCAGGCTCAGGTCAGTTGGGGGAGGAGTCCGGTCTGGGCCACACTGGCACAGGCTGGAAGGAAAGGGGCAGGGTACTATTTCTGCTTCCGGCTATGCCTCCCCTTGGAAGATGCTTACAGCCTAAGATCTGTAGACCCTCAGCCCCTGCCAACAGGGTGTTTGCTGAGTACTCTGCTGTTTCCACACAGTCCAACTGTGGACCTGTAAACAGTACCCGGGGTGGTCATCTAGGCCTTTCTGGCCCCCTCCCCACAGAGGCAGTGGTTTGTGGATAGTTATTGGACCCACTGTACTGCAGAATTGCTGAGACTCTGCTCCCTCTCTTTTAGGCTCTTTCAGTCAGTGACCATTTTCCTGTGGAGGTGACCCTCAAGTCACACCTATAGTCTGGAGATCTGGCCAGGGAATGCCATCTGCAGACTTTGGCCACAAAGAGTGGCACCATAGAGGAACACGCAGATGGCAGGCTACTCTTCACTTGATCTTAGCCAAAAGGCTGAGAAGCGACTGGCAGGCTACTCTTCAGTGAGGATGCAGGCAGGGTCATCACCTGGGCAGGGACACGTCTATGGACGCATAATAGGACTACCCAGAGCCTCAGTTTCCCTATCTGTAAGACAGGCTAGCACTACCTACCTCTTAGGGTTGTTGTGAGGAGTACCTACAAATGGTGCTCTGTGTGGCAACTGGCACAATCTCTGCTTAATAAACAAGATGCTCTCAGCCAGGATCACACAGGTTGGCTCCAAGGCTTCTGTCTTAGGACCCAGCCCTTCTGGGGTGCAAGCCTTGGGTCCCAGCCCCCTTGGAGAACACAGAGGGTCTGTCCTGCCCCCCCCCTTTTATTCTGGTGGGAACTTGTAACCTGACCATACTGGCCCAGAAGGCAGTTTAGAAACTCCCTGTTCTCCTTCCAAAACCCTGATCCATGAGTGCAGCTGGATGATAATGGCACCGCACAGCAGCTTCCTGGGCCTTGATGGATTTCAGAACAGGCTTTGATCCTCATCTTGCCACCAGGGACTCCCAGGCACTCATCTGAATCAGAAGTCCTGCTTCATCCAGTTCTGCAAGGGGCAGGTCCCATCAGTCATCTGCCCTGGGACTTTTAGAGTCCTTTAGCATAGGAAGGCTGCTTTGGGTTTCTCCCAGGCCAGACATGGCTCAAAGCTAAGATCCTTCCCAGAGACTGCATACCTTGCCTGGGGACTGGTCTGTGTAGTTTCCTCCCCAGCAGCCCTGGGTTGAGGGAGAATCTGCTTGGGGTGAGCCCACCACCTCAGGAGCAAGAAAAAGCAGTTTCGTGGGCACAGGAACCTGATAAGGTTTCTAGATTTTGAAACAGCCCATCTTTGGCAGAATTTGGAAACTGGACTGAGTCATATGGAAGGGAGAGTCTTTGTTTCAAGAGTTTAGACATATTTGGTTCTCCCAAAATCTTTCTAAAGTAAGACTGAGGATTTTGGCAACAGTGCATGTCTCAGACATGCAATACTTTGCGGGGACCCTCTCCATGCGCCCCAGGATCCTCTGAATGGATTCCTATTCCCACCATCCAAGTGGACAAACATGGTGCCAAAGGGTTATTCTCTTGGGTGATGATGGTTCTGTGGGTCTTACTTGGCCTTAAAAGCCTTGAGCAAGTAATCAAAGGCTGGGGATGGGACAATCTGAAGACTTTATTCACAATTCTGCTGTGGGAAAGGAGACAGTGTGATCTTATCTGGGCCCATAAGGACCCACCTGGCATTAAATTCCAAAACTCCAGTCACTGCTCTTCAAGTCCTCTTGCCTTCCCACCAGGCACAAAGGCACTTGTGGTGATGGTAGTGGGGCCTTGGGACACTGGGTTCTAAGATCAGGAAAACAAATAGCTGAGCAGGTTGAAAACTACGTTCTTTAAAATCCCCTTGGGACCACAGAAGAACCTGTGTGGCAGCCTTGCCTTAGTGTTTCTTTTGTTTGAGGTTTTCTAAGTACACCTGCAGGGACTTCTGGATGGAGTCTCTGGAGATGAAGTTGATGAAGTTCTGGATGTCAGCTTCCTGATGTTTGATCAGGTGGTCTGCTGTGGCCTTCCGAATCATGTTCTTGGTCAGCTGCCGAACATGATCTAAAGAAAATGAGGTCCACCTGTGAAAACCCATGTGCCTAGACAGTGGGGTCATTCCCAACCTTTCTTCAAGTGTCCAAACAGAAACTTGGTTAGAAAACTTAGAAAATACAGTAAGAAGTCTCCTGTCCCCACTGCCCACTTATTTCCCTAAAAACCACTGGATGATATTGTAAAAATTGCCTTTTTGTTATTTTCACCGTATTATAGTACTGAGAATATCTTTTTTATGCCCATTCCCTCATCTCTATCAGGGGTCCACAAACTGACTTCCTAAGAGAAGATGCCAAGGAAGTAGATTCGAACAATTTTCACTTTTTTTTTGAGACAAGAATCTTACTATGTAGCCCAGGGTGGCCACCATGCCTGGCTATTTTCACCTTTTTTTGGTACTGGGGATCAAACTTGGGACCTTGCACTCAACAAGGCAGGTGTGGTGCCGCTGAGCTAAATCCCCAGACCTTCACCTTTTTTAGTTGGAAAAATTCAGGATATTTTGTGAAATGTTTCTGGGTGTGGCAATCCATGCGTGTAATCCCAGCACTCAGGAAGCTGAGGCAGGAAGACTGTCTCGAGTTTCAGGTGAGCCTAGGCTACATAGTGAGTTTAAGGACAGCTTGAACTATATAGTAAGTACTTATCTATAAAAAGAAGAACGCTATCACTGAAGCTTCAGTGTCCCTATAGTCTCACTGGGCCATGGTCACCAGCCCATCAGTTTGTGTTCTTTGTGGCCTCCAGCTGCAAGGGCCTAGTTCAACAGAGACCTTGTGACCAATGAAGCTGACAGCGTTCCTGTTCTTCACAGACAAAATCTGCTGGTGGTCCCTGGTCTCTTAGCGTTGATATGACCATCCTGTTTCTATAAACAGACTAGCAAGTTTCCAAATGTCCTTATAGAGGGTTCCCAGAAAGATGTTCAAGTCCTAACCACCCCTCTAGAATGTGTGAATATGACCTTATTTTGAAAAAAATCCCTGCAGATGTAATTAAGATGAGATCATCTTGGATACAGGGAAGACTTTTATCCAATGGCAGGTGTCCTTTGAATTAAAGAGAAATTTGAAACAGAGACATAGAGGACACACAAGGAGGCAGAGATGAGTGACGTGGCCACAAGTTGAGGAATGGAGCCAATATAAACTGGAAGAATCAAGGGAGCCCCCTTCCCCCATCCTTGATGGGACCTTGATATTGGATTTCTGGTCTCTAGAACTGTGGGAATAAAGTTTCTGTGGCTTTAAGGTACCCAGACTATGGTGGCTTGTTATGATAGCCCCTGCTGGTAGGGGCAGTACTGTGCATATTTATGGCTTCCACAGAATCTATGTGGGAGGACTACTGGCATCACCAGGATGAAGCATTAGGCTGGGGAGGATTCCCTTTACCATGGATACCTGCAACTGCCCACCCTCCTCAAGCTCCTCACCTGGAATGGCCAGCCACTGGGTCATCACTGAGAGTGCTGTGCTCTGTACCTGGTCCTCGGGCACTACCTGGTCCACCATGCCCAACTGAAGGGCCTCTGCTGGTGGGAAGAGCAGCCCCAGCTGCAGGGCACGCTCCGAGGCTCGGTGCCCGATGGTGTTCACAAGGGTGTCTTTGAACCTAGAATGAAGATGCCTGGTCACCTCTGGCCTCAGGGCTCCCAGGAGGTTCTGTTTAGCTCAGGATCAATTACAGTGTGGGTGCAGCCCCTGGCCTTACCAGAAGGGGACAACAAGGCCCAGCAGAGTCTCATTCAGTCCCATTCGGTACCTAGGGTTGTCAGCCAGGACCCGGTAGTCACAGCTGAGGGCTATCAGGCAGCCTCCAGCAGGGGAAGTTCCCTGCAGGGAAGAGAGAGATCTGGAGGTGCCACTGCTCCCAAGTGTACCCCAGACAGTAGGGGTCAGAGTTGAGTCCAGGAAGGGTGAGGTGGGCACAAGCTCTTGGGGTGGCCCCAGTCCCATTGCCTGGGGGATGCACCAACAATTCAGGCTGTATGTGCACGATGAGGAAAAGGACCAAGAAGGAACTGCCCCCCCATTAAGGCTCAGCGCCAGGAATCTCAAGAAGGGCTCAGGGGTGCCCATCAACCCAAGGACCCCTAAGACAGACCCATCAGCTTTTGGGGGCCAGAAAAACCTGCTGTTGAGGGTGGCAAGTTGCTTTTCCATTTATAATTTTTGTCTGATGCTACTCTCCAAGCAAGCATATAGCCACAGCTGGCATTTCATGTCAGGGCCTGGGGGCCCCATTACCATCTCCAGCACCCAACCCTACCAGGATGTCCTGGGAACCCAAACTTACACCAACCATGTGCTCACTTTAGGCCCCACACTGCCCCAAACAGAGAGTAGGTCATCAGTTGTCTCTTCTTCAGCACCCTTATCCTATCTCACCATAGTACTTCAACGAGGCCCCTAACTTTCATGTTATCCCTTCCTTCTGCTTCCTGATGACATGCAGCCTTTCGTGGTTAGTCAACAGCTACCTGCTAATAGCACAGTTCCAGAGCCGTCCACTTCCTTGGACTCCCCTGCCTTTCCCAGGTCTGGCCAGGGTGAGGTTCCCAAAAGGTTGGCCTAGTATACCATTCACTCCAGGCATAGCCTGTTAATGGCAGGCCCTGGTCCCAACCCGCTAGTTCTTTTGTGTGTCATGTCTGTCTGGCTCAGGCTAGTGTCTGCCCCTGCCCCTGGGCTGGCCCCAAAGAAATGGGAGAATCTATAGGGTGGGGATACTCACGTTGATGGCAGCAACCAGCACCAGGTTGGACAGGTAGACCTTCAGCCACATCTCCTGCACAGCCCTCCAGTATTCGGCGTAGTGGGCTGGGTTCTTCCCGCACATCTCCCTCAAGTCCAGGCCAGCTGAGAAGATGCCGGGACAGTCCTCCCAGAAGCAGCCCAAGCAAGGTGTTCATAAGTACATTACATCACCAGGTATGGGGTTGCCTCCAAGAAGCCCAGAACTGGGGGCTCCAAGGACATAGCCTAGACCTCCCTGACCCAGCCTCCACTTCCCAGGATATTCTTCCCTTTCCAGCTTCAAACTGAAAAGGCAGAACAGGCATTGCTTCAGGGCACATGAATGCAATCTACCCAATAACAGTCCATTCTTTCCCTCAGGGCTGTAGTGGGCAGTCCCTCCTCCACAGGATATTTACATCCCTCCCACTCCCAGCTCCATCAGGACAGGCCCCAGGGTACAGATCTGACACCAGATTCCAAGGTCACCATTCCTTTGGATGAAGCTCCTGACACTTACAGCACTTGGGGCAATGCTGGGGTTCAGACAGAAGAAAAGTTTGCCCTCTGAGAATGTGAGCTAAGTCTGACCCAAAGAGTAGCTAAGCCCCAAAGACAGCTCTGGCTCTCTAGATACACATACTGAAGAATTGGCTCAGGCATCAGACCCCCCTAGGGTAAAGCAGCCCAGGAGACCCTAAGGTCCTATAGGGTCAGCTTCTCCTGAAGCATCACGGGCTTGAGAATGCCCCTTTGAAGACCTGGCTTTCCCAACATGGTTCTGGCCCAGGCTGTGGAGCACCATAGCTTTCCTCAGGTCTTGACAACCAAAGGCCTGGCAAGTATCCTTGAGCTTGGCCTGCCTTCAGGAAAATCACCTGCCTGAGCTCACTGGTATAATCAAATCCCTAATGTCTGGGGACTATGCTCTCTGGAAGCCTCTCATGGTAGCATCTGATCTCCAGGTGGCAGGGGCTGCCTGATTACTCTGTCATGTGACAGATGGCTCCAGCTTTTCCCAAGTTTCCACTCTGATCTGAGGACTTGGGGCCCTGAAGAATCACCTACTGAAGTTAAGACAACGCCTCTGAAGGTCTTGTCATTTTCCAGCTTCTCCAAGCAGATGACGAACTCTGTCAGAAACTCCAGGGTAAGGCTATTCACTGGAGGGTTCTTGAATTTTATCACAGCAACTCCTAGTTTAAAGAAGGAGGAAGAACCTTACATCCAGCATGGGTACAGTATCTTGACCAGGCTGTATCCTCAGGCAGGCCATGGAAAACTGCACAGTTCTGGGGGTTTTTGTTTGTTTGGTTTTTGGTTTTGGTACCAGGGATTGAACTCAGGTCCTTGCACTTGCGCAGCAGGTGGCGAAACCACTGAGCTAAATTCCTGGCCCTAGTTCTGGGGTTTTAAAGAATGAGGGGAAGCTGAGTGTGGTGGTACACACTTGTATTCCCACTACTCAGGAGGCTGAAGCAAGAGAATTGCCACCAGATTGAGGCTAGCCTGGGCTACACAGTGAGTTCAAGGCCAGCCTGAACTACATAGTAGGACCCTGCCTCAAAAAAAGCAAAACACACCACTACCACCACAACTGAGGGGAGGCTGTCTGTAATCCCAGCACTCCAGGAGACTGAAGCAGGAGGGTCAAAAGTTTAAACCCAGCCTGGACAATTTAGACCGTCTCAAAATTTTTAAAAAGGGATAGGATATAGCTTAGTGAGAAGGCTCTGTGTTTATTTCCCAGAACAGAAAAACAAAACAAAAACCTCAAGGTGAGATTCACATAATATAAATTTACTATTTTAAAATGAACAGTTTAGTTCCACTAAACATATTTACAAGGTTGCACAACAATCACCACTACATAGTTCAAAGAAGAGAAATCCCTTCTTCCTTACCAGTTGTTCCCCATTCCCTGGCAACCCCTATCTGCTCTGTCTCAACGTATTTGCCTGTCTTGGAGGTTTCACATGAGTGGAATCATGAGTTTCCAGTGTAGTGGTTATCATGTTCACCTCAC